AGATCCGCCCCCTGGTGGGCTGAGCTGGCCATACACACACAATAAATAAATGTAATAAATAAAAATAAATAAATATTAAAATGTAAAAAAAAAAAAAAAAAAAAAAGAATTGGAGGAAGTTAGGCCAAGAAAAGGAGTGGGCGGCCATTTTGTAAGGCATGAGATAAGCTCTCCAGATTGCAAGATCAAGATAAGTTTCCAAATTCAGAGGACACACGGAGAGTTCAGCAAATGGCTTTTTTATTTTTTTGGTGCAGGGTCTTACTATGCAGCTTGAACTCATAGTGATCCTCTTGTTTTCAGCCTCACCAACGCTGGGATTATAGGCCTGCGTCACTACGCCCAAACTCAGCTGGCCAGCTCAGCCCACCTGTGATGCTGGGGATTGAATCCTGGCCCCTGCACTTGCCTAAGTGGGTGCTTAGTTCACTGAGCTATCTCACCGGCCCTAACAGATGGCATTTATTATTATTATTTTTTTATGTATTTAGCACAGGGTCTGTGGGGGTCTCACTGCGCAGATCAGACTTGTAGTGCTCCTCCTGTTTTCAGCCTCCCAAGTGCTGGGATTACAGGTGCACACCACCATGCCCAGTCTCACTTGCCAACGCAGCGCACCCTGGGGGCAGGGCCAGCACTGCATGCAGAGGGTGGAACCTCAACCACTGTGCTGTGCCTTGTGCAGGTGCAGCAAATGGCATTTAAAGATCTAATTCAAAGCTCCTCAAGCTTTTCAGAGAAAGGTAACAAAACTATTAAGTAAGAACTAACGGATTTATAATATCTCTCAAAACCAAAGTAGAAGCAAACCACGGAGCCTTCCAAACTTTAAGAGAAAATTGTTTTAAACCTGTAGTTTTATACCCAACCAAACTATCAAAAATGCGCTTGTAGAACCAAGATATTTCCAGAAGCATGCAAAGTGTCAGAGAACTTTCCTTCTTAGAGAGCTACTAAAATATGTTTCTACCACAATGAAACGAACCAAGGGAGACAAAGATGTGGACTGCTAGGAAACAGGGGCTTCAGCCGGAGACGAAGGGGAGCGGACCCCGGAGGTGCTGTGGCGATCCCAGCGAAGCACCGTGAGAGAGGGCAGGCTGAGAGAGGGAGGTCCCCGGGGAGAAGATGAAGCAAGTTGTTCGGTAGGCCTCTCTGCCATAGAAGACTGAGGAGAGACATACAGAGCCCTCGGCTGTATGTCAGGATTGGGGTGTAAAAAAGGAATCCAAGTAAACGAAAAATTGCAGCTAGAAAAATAAATCGCACAGGAAGGGAACCATGGCACTCCAGCTCGGCCGCCCCAGCACTCACTTGCCTGCTCCCACCGCCCGCGCCGCCGCCTCGGCCCCTCGCTGCCGCTGCCATGGACGCCATCAAGAAGAAGATGCAGATGCTGAAGCTCGGCAAGGAGAATGCCCTGGACTCAGCCGAGCAAGCAGAGGCTGAGAAGAAGGCGGCGGAGGACCGGAGCAGGCAGCTGGAAGATGAGCTGGTGTCGCTGCAAAAGAAACTCAAGGGCACCGAAGATGAACTGGACAAATACTCCGAGGCTTTCCAAGATGCCCAGGAGAAACTGGAGCTGGCGGAGAAAAAGGCCACCGATGCTGACGCCGACGTAGCTTCTCTGAACAGACGCATCCAGCTGGTTGAGGAGGAGCTGGATCGCGCTCAGGAGCGGCTGGCCACAGCTTTGCAGAAGCTGGAAGAGGCTGAGAAGGCAGCAGATAAGAGCGAGAGAGGCATGAAAGTCATTGAAAGCTGAGCCCAGAAGGATGAAGAAAAGATGAAAATTCAGGAGATCCAACTGAAAGAGGCCAAGCACACTGCTGAAGATGCCGACCGCAAGTATGAAGAGGTGGCCCGCAAGCTGGTCATCATCGAGAGTGACCTGGAACGTGCAGAGGAGAGGGCCAAGCTCTCAGAAGGCCAAGTTCGACAGCAGGAAGAACAATTAAGAATAATGGATCAGACCTTGAAAGCATTTAATGGCTGCAGAGGATAAGTACTCGCAGAAGGAAGATAAATAGGAGGAGGAGATCGGGGTTCTTTCTGACAAGCTGAAGGAGGCTGAGACTCGGGCTGAGTTTGCAGAGAGGTCAGTCACTAAGTTGGAGAAAAGCATTGACGACGTAGAAGAGAAAGTGGCTCATGCCAAGGAAGAACAATCCCCGGTTCCGCAAAAAAAAAAAAAGAAAAGAAGAAAAGAAAACCTTAGCATGCACCAGATGCTGAATCAGACTTTACTGGAGCTAAACAACATGTGAAAATCTCCTTAGCTGCCTTTCTTTTGGTTTTGTTATTCTGTTTCATTTGTTTTTGTTGTTGTTAACACCTGCTTACCGGGAAATTCCTTTAATGCATTTTTTTTCTTTTTACTTTTACCACTGTCACAGAACGAAGTATCAACTAGAGCAGGGGGCGGGGAAAACACTTAAGGCCAGCCTCTGTCGGGAGCTAAGGGTTTCAGTGTGCCATTTCCCAGGGTGACGTTGCCACACTTCATAGAGTTTAGCCACACAGTTTGCTTAATCCAGGTAGGACGCCTCACTGAAGCAGGAAGGATTTCCACACACAGTGCCAAGCCCAGGGGCAATGGGAAGGTGGGTGCTGCGGAGACACAATGGGGTGTGATCGGTGCTACTTTTAAACTAAAGGTCCCCTGTGGTCTTTTGTTCAACATTTTACAATTTAGGATTCTGCCCACCACTCATTTATTTTGTCTCAAGTTTTACTACAAGATGAGACTTTGGATTGCAGCTAGCTGTAGCCCCTAAAGCCAAGGCTTCGAAAAAGCCGAGCTGCTCTTTTAAGACTGAAGTCCTTTGTGTCGGGTGCACTCCCAGCCCACCACCACTCTGTAGAGGAGAACTCCACAAGGATTTCCACTCTTTCCAAATCTCCATGAAAGATTGAGGCACTACATGACATTGGTGAAGAAAAAAACATTTTCTTCAGAATTATAACTATATGTAAACATTGTATAATGATATGGAATAAAATGCACATTTTAGGACATTTTCTAAAAAAAAAAAAGGAAAGGAACCATAAAAAGTGAACCATAGAAAGTGAACAGCATTTTCACAATCTAACAATAAAAAACACGGTAGAGATTTAATCTTTTCAACTTCAATCCTACAACTTTTAGGAGGATGGGGAGAGAAAGAGCAGGAAAGACTTTAAAATCCATTCTATCAAGATAATATTGGTATTTTAAATAGATAAGTTGGCAGAGGGCATTGGCACTGGTTTTGATTTTCTCACTATGGGGAATTGAACCAAGGGCTTTGGGTATGCTGGGCTCAACACTGAGCTACACTCCCCACGCCAAGTTTTAGATGCTTTTTAAAAATTTTTATTTTTATTTTTTTATGGTGCTGGAGGTTGGGCCCAAGTCCTTTGCACTGAGCTACATCCCCTAGCCTGTTTAATTTTTTTAAAATTTTAAGTTATTATTGTTATTAATTATTGCAGTATTGGGATTTGAACCTCGGGCCTTCACACTGAGCTACATTCTTAACCCTTTTCATTTTGTGATTAGGTCTGGCTAAATCACTTAACAACCCAGGCCGAGTCGAAGTTGTCCTCCTCTCCGGCCTTAGGCCTCCCACGGCGCCCTGTGCTTGGCTGGCTTACGGCCAAGAGATACAGAACCAAGTGCAGAGCAGGCAGCTGGAATGCACTTTGGAATGTGGCCACCGTGGCAGCCTCCATGGGTGATATCAGTGAAGACACAAACGTGACCAGTCAGGAGGTGGGAGTGGAGAAGCACCTCAGGATGTAGGCGTGGGGAGACCCCATCCTAGCAGGGGTGTAGCCTACAAAGTGAGGACGGGGCAGGTCGGGAAGCCAAGCACACAGGTGCTCTTGCAGAGACCGCCAGGATGGGTTCAGGTAGCTGAGAGGCAGCGTCCTGCGCCCCAGGGTGGGGCTGCTGCTTAAACGGAGAGCACCACCATGGCAGAGGTGGAGGCTGGGGGAGCCACGCGAGGGGAGTTGGCCCACCTGCCCGGGCCGGGGATGATGCAGCCGCTCCTGAGGCTGTGCCCGGGCCCTCGGGGGAGCCGGAGACACTGCCCTCCTATTGCCAGATGTTTTGTTGGTTTCTACATTCAGGCCTGGGCATGGGGGAGGGTTTCAGTGCACTGCATGGGGCTGGCTTGGGGAGGAGCAGAGTGCCCTGTCCCACAGCGTCCCTGCAGAGCTGCCCAGGCAGGGGCCAAGGCAGTGGGCTCGGCGTGCAGCCCCATGTTGCCCCAGCCCCTGGTCCAGGTGGCCATGGGGATGGAATCTAACAGGGCAGTGCTGGGGCTGGTGGGGCAGACCGCGGTCCTCACAGTGGCATGGGGTGGGCTTGGTACTTTTGAGTTTCTACCTGCATAAACAGGACCCTGAGGGACTGGGTTTGTAGGCTGTTACTTAGTTTCTTTCTTTCTTTCTTTTTTTTTTAATTTTATTTATTTATGTGTGTGTGTGTGTGTGTGTGTGTGTGTGGCCAGCTCAGCCCACCAGGGGGCGGGGCTGGCTGGCATGTGGTGCTGGGGGATTGAACCGTGATCCCTGTGCTTTGCTAAGCTTGCTCTAAGTAGGTGCTCCAGACCACTGAGCCATCTCACCAGACCCTTAGTTTCTATTTATTTGTTTGTTTAGTTTTTTTGGAGACACGGTCTCCCTGGGTAGCTCAGGCTGTCCTTGAACTCACAGTGTAGCCCAGGCTGGCCTCCAGGAGGCATTCCTCCTGCCACAGCCTCCCAAGTGCTGGACTTACAGGTCTTTGCAATTTAAGGAAATGGTTTTTAAGCAATTGGTCCCTACCTGGATTCTGCCTGCCCTCACCTTCCTTGTGGTGGTTCACATCTCTGGGCAGGAGCTGTGTGGAGCATGGGCTCAGGGATGTATGTGGTCCGTCTGGCCCAGCCTCCCCCAAGCAAAACCCCAGGTTCTCCCTGTGGAGCAGAGGCCCTGGGGCAATTCCTGAGTCCCGGCACCTCTCTGTGCAGAGCATGAAAGGCTTCGAGGAGGAGGGCGTGGAGTTCCTGCCTGTGAACAACGCCAAACAGGTGGAGAAGCGAGGTCCCCGGCGCTGCGTGGTGCTGACATCCCTGCTGCTCGGCTTCCTCTTGCTTTCACTCACGGTGGGCTTGCTGGTGTGGCACTTCCAGTGTGAGTACCGTGGGTGGCCCGAGACACCTGCAGTGGACAGGGTGGCTTGGGAGGGAGGAAGGCTCCGTCTCCAGAGCTGTCCCCCAACCAACCGCTCTCCTGCTGGTGCAGATCGGAAGGTGCAGGTGCAGGTGCAGAAGGTCTTCAATGGCTATCTGAGGATCACGAATGAGAACTTTGTGGATGCCTATGAGAACTCGAGTTCTGCCGAGTTTATAAACCTGGCCAAGAAGGTGAAGGAGGCGGTGAGTGTACTCTCAGGACCCTGGTACCACAGTTTCATCAAGGTCGGGGTGGAGGGAGGTAGGAAGGGCCAGCGTCCTGGGAAGTGAGGTAGCAGCTGGGCTTGGGGGGCTGCCGCCATGCTTGCCTGTCACAAGTCTTGTCTCTTACCTGCAGCTAAAGTTGTTATACCTCGAGGTCCCGGTCCTGGGCCCCTACCACAGGAATTCGGCCATAACTGCCTTCAGGTAGGTGCTGGGGACGGGAGGGATGGTCCCTGACCTGCTGGGAGTGGGATTGCATGGCGTTGCGTATGGGCCAGATGCCTTGGGACCCCAGGGGTGCTGAGGCTGAAGGGCTCGCCCAGCTCTGTCCTTCGTGCAGGGGACTTGGCACGCTTAGTTCTTCTGTCTCCAGGCCGCGTGGTTAGGATGAGGTGTGTGACTGCTTGTGGAAGGCCTCGCGTGGTGCCTCCCCTGCACCGCGTTCAGAAAGTACAATGATGATTCTTCCAAATCTGGGTTTGAGGGAGTTAGGACACCTAGGAGGGCTTCAGGCAAACATGCTCTTTAAAAAGTAAACTTTGTTCTCAAAGTACCTGTCTTACTTTTCACTCCTTGCTGGGATAAAATATCTGACACCCAAGATGAAGGACAGAAAGTTTTATTTAGCTCAGTTAGTGGAGGTTTCAGTCCATACTTGGCTGGCTCCAAGGCAGAGTGGCACGTGGCAGAGGGCAGCAGTTCATGGTGGTGGCAAAGAGCAAAGAGAGGAATAGCAGCAACAGTGGCAACAGGGGGCAAATCTGTCTCCCTTAGGTTGCATTCAGGCTATCCACCCCAGGCTGGGTGTAGCACTCACCCACAATCCCAGCAGCACTCACACCCAGAATCCCAACAGCATTCACACTCATAATCCCAGCAGCATTCACACCTATAATCCTAGCATTGGGTCAGGAATTAATCACAAACTGTAGAAGTCTAACCCATAACTGCAAGAGGCACTGGGGTGACAACTAGACACAAACCAAAACAGTACCGTTTTTCGTGGTGCTGGGAATTGAACCCTTGGTCCTGCACATGCTAGACAAATGTGCTCTCGCTCTCTCTCTCTCTCTCTCTCTCTCTCTCTCTCTCTCTGTCTCTCTCTGTCTCTCTCTCTGTCTCTCTGTCTCTGTCTCTCTCTGTCTCTTTGTCTCTGTCTCTGTCTCTCTGTCTCTGTGTCTGTCTCTCTGTCTCTCTCTCAGTGTCTGTCTCTCTCTGTGTGTGTCTGTCTCTCTCTGTGTGTGTCTGTCTCTCTCTGTGTGTGTCTGTCTCTCTCTGTGTCTGTCTCTCTATGTCTGTCTCTTTCTCTGTGTCCGTCTGTCTGTCTGTCTGTCTCTCCATCATATCCCTAGTCCTGTTCTCTTTCTTTAAGAGATCTCCCTGCATTGCCCAGGCTGGCTCCAACTCGTGGCAAACCTCATGCTTTAGTCCCTCAAGGATATGGAGTGCAGGCGGGCCCCGCTACACGCAGGTGTTTGTGGAAGGGGTTGGGTGTTTCCGTTTGTCCAGCCGGACCTTGCGCTCCTACTCACAAGTGATCCTCCAGCTTCAGCCTCCTCCTTCAGTCACTGAGACTATAGGCCATTGCCACCACAGCTGCTTTCCAAATGTCAATTGGATCCTCGGGGATTCAACTGAATCCCTGGGTTGCAGGTAGCAATCTCCTCTCCCTAATTAGAACACAGTCCCAGAAAGGGTGGTATTAGGCCCCCACGTTGGTGGCCAGACTCCCACCAGGTGTCCCTTGCTTGCTTATCATGACCTGGCCCTGGGACATGTGTGGGGGGGGTGAGATACGCAGAGCTTGAGGTGAGGGTAAGAGCTCCTGCTGAGGGATCGCAGGGACCCTGGGGAATGGGTGGCCTGGGAGCACGGGGGTCCTCAGGCTGCACACCTTCCTCAGGCTTGCCCTTGTCTCCCCAGTGAGGGCAGCGTCATTGCTTACTACTGGTCAGAGTTCAGCATTCCCCAGTCCCTGGAGGCGGAGGTGGAGCGGGCCCTGGCCGTGAAGAGAGTCATCACGCTGCCGCCCCGAGGCCGGGCACTCAGCTCCTTTGTTGTGACCTCCGTGGTGGCCTTTCGTGAGTTGGGCAAGCAGGGGTGGGCGCACGAAGACCGGCCTGCAGGAAGGAGAGCTGGGCTTGGCCCGTTGCCTCCTTAGGCTGCTAAAGAAGTGGGAAAACAGGCATAAATCGTAACAGAATATTCTCCTTCTCGTGTTTAGCCACTGACCCCAGGACATTGCAGAGGCCCCAGGACAGTAAGTATCCTGACCCCACCCCAGGTGGAAGAAAGGAGAGACATATCAGGTGTTTATTCAAGCAGGGGTCCCTAAAAGTCTGATGAGGCAATGGCAGCATGTCCCTTTTCTTTTCTTTTGGAGGAACTGGGGATTGAACCCAGACCCTTGTGCTTACCAGGGAAGCGCCCATTCTACTGAGCCATCTCCCTGGCCCAGCACATCCCTTCTCTACTTCCAGTCCCCTCTCAGAAGCCACTTGCCTGCCTCTCCTGGCAAAGCCTGCGGTGTCTGGGGGTGGCCAGGACTGGGGTGTGCCTGGCTCCCCCAGCTCTCCTGGCCCCAGCCCCACACATGCTGTTCATATCTCCTACACAGACAGCTGCAGTTTCGCCTTGCATGCCCGGGACAGGGAAATGACACGCTTCACTACTCCTGGCTTTCCTGACAGTCCCTACCCTATTCGCGCCCGCTGCCAGTGGACCCTGAGGGGCGACGCGAACTCGGTGCTGAGCCTCACCTTCCGCAGCTTTGATGTTGCCCCCTGTGATGAGCAGGACAGTGACCTGGTCACGGTGTACAATAGTCTGAGCCCCGTGGAGCCCCACACCGTGGTTCGGTGAGTGGCCTCGAACGGCCTCGGGTACCATAGCTGACTTTGAAAGGTCAGGCCTAGGACCAAGTGTGCCGTAGGCTGAGGTGCAGTTCAGGGTCTCAGAGGCGAAGCCTCAGCTTCTCTGGCTCAGCGAGGCAGAGTCCACCTAGTGGGATGCACTTCTGTAAGCTTCTGGCTCCCGTGTAAATTTGGGCTTCATTATTAGTCCCGTAGATCGAGACCCACACTGCTGGAGGTGATTGCCGTTGGACAGATAGCTGTCTGTCGCTGGGCGCGGGGGCACACACCTATGCTCCCAGCCCTGTGGGGGCTGAGGCAAGAGGGTGGTCAGTTCAGGATCAGCCTGCCAACTTGGGCAGACCCTGCCTCAGAAGTGTAAAAGTGCTGAAGACGGAGCCCTGGCTTCAATCACTGGTACTGCAAGGAAAAAGGAAAGAACAAAAGTGCCCCAAAGAGAAGGCGCAGAGGGCACACAGGCCTGAGGAGGGACTCAAGAGAGCAGAGAACCTTTATTGTGGTTTACATGGGGAAGGAGTTCAGTCAGAGGAGTGGCTAGGGGCATTGTAGTGGGCTTGACACCTGGGCGGTCCCTAGTGGCAGCCACCTGGGTGGTCGGACCACGTGAGGACAGAGGAGAGACTTGGGCTCTAATCAGAGCAGTAGGTGTAGGACAGGTGCGCCTGCCGGTGAGTCCTGCACCATTTCTGGTGATTGGTAGGTAGGGGCTGGGTCTCTCCAGGGTCAGTGAGGCCAGAGTCAGCACATCAGAGTTACAGAAAATAAGAAGCCATGTAAGTGCGCCTGCTCTGATCTAGTACTGGGACGAGCAGCCCAGGGAAGGCTTTCCCCAGTGGGGCTGGACAGAGCCTTCTGGTGCTCCGTGGACCTGAGCAGGGGTTTCTTGATTCAGTCCCAAACCAAGACTAACCTGTCTTTTGTCACAACTTAGTAGCCAGGACCTCTGACCAGGTGGGTGCCTTCCCTGTCTCTTTAACTTACTGGCATATAACAGAGAAGTACACAACCCTCAAAGGAAAGAAGTAGCAACCAACAAGTGGAAGGGGGGAACTTTACCCATTACTTTACTACCTAGGAATAACCACTGCTCTGTGTGTGTGTGTGTGTGTGTGTGTTACTGCAGACTAAACCCAGGATCTTCATACCAGCCCTTTGCAAATTTCTGAGACAGGGTCTCACTGAATCACTGTATTGCTCAGGCTGAGTTTGAACTGTCAACCCTCCAGCTTCTGCCTCCCAGAGGGCTGGCATATCCCACCATGTCCCGCAAACAGTTACATTTTTTATGTATACTCCAGACTTTTTTGGCTGTGTACTTATGTGTGTCTTTAAAAACAGGATTATCTGTATTTCTTCTTTTTGTTTTTGTGGGAGTGAGTGTATGTGGTATGGATGGGTGTGGGTGTGGGTTTGTTTTTTTAGGGGAGGTTTATTTAATTTTTTTTGTTTTTGGTGCCAAGGACTGAACCCAGGGCTTCCAGCTTGCTAGGCAAGCATTCTACCACTGAGCCAAATCCCCAGCCCCCAAAACAGGATTATCTGTACCCGCATTTTCCAAATCAACCCCATTTGCAATGGCTGTAATGGTTATAACGTGGCATTGTTTAGTGACAGATGACTCGGTTACTAGGTCTGGAGCCTGGACACCTGAGTCTGACTCAAGTCCTGCCACTTGTTAATTGTGGAATCCTGGCAGGTTCCTGCACCGCTCTTTGCCTCCATGCCCTGTCCGGAGGGGGGATAGTGACACCTACTTTGCAGCATTGTCTGAAAGATTGTGAGTGCGTAGATGTAGTAGCACTCGGGCAGAGGGCCTGGGTTAGCTAAGTGACAGAGAGCAGGTCCGCAGGTATGAGGCCCGGGTTTGACCCACTAAAAAAGAACCTCCCGTAAAAGAAAAGTTTGCCAAGACCTACGCCTAGCCCTCTCTGAAGCATTACTGTTACTGCTGCTCACACTGTTGTTCAATTTACCTCGAAATTTACCTCAGAGTCCTCAGTGAGGCCTTTGTCCCTGAGGCTTTGTTGCGTCACATGTGGGCCTGGGCTCCAGGCCAGGTCCCTGGTTGTGAGCGTGGTGGGGTGCAGACCCTGGGGAGGGGCCCCTCGCTGGGTGAGTGGGTGCGTGCGGTCTGAGCGTGTCCCTCACTGACTCCTGTCCCTCTGCCCCGCAGGCTGTGTGGCACCTACCCTCCCTCCTACAACCTGACCTTCCTCTCCTCCCAGAACGTGCTGCTTGTCACATTGATCACCAGCACGGAGCGGCGCCATCCAGGCTTTGACGCCGCCTTCTTCCAGCTGCCCAAGATGAGCAGTAAGGAGGGGCGGGGCAGGGTGGGCAGTGCTCGTGGTCACCCTGAAGGAACAGGCCTTAGAGGGGACCAAGCCCAGGAGATCGCAGCTCACCCTGTAGTTGATAGCTGGCCCTGATCAGTGGCAGAGGCTGACGTGTGAGCCACAGCGTGTGTCCCACCTTTGAGCTTCTGGCACCCCCTAGGGGTGTCCAGTTCCCTGGGCAGCAGGAGGCCTTGGCACAAGGCCCCTCCTGGCTTAGCAAGGCTTGGTCCTCACCCCCTCCTGTCTTCCGTTGCAGGCTGTGGGGGCTCCCTGCGTGATGCCCAGGGGACATTCAGCACCCCCTACTACCCTGGCCATTACCCGCCCAACATCAACTGCACGTGGGACATCCAGGTAGGGGTGTGTGAGGGAGGGAGAGGGGCCTGGCAGGCAGATGAGCCCGGCAGATGGAGGCATAATGCGCTCCTTTGTCAGCCCCAAGCGGGCACCTCTGAGCTTCCGCTGTAGTACCGCAGGCCCAGGCCCAGGCCCCATCTGTGACTAGTCTGGCCCTAACCCCGCCCCAGCCTCTCCTGTGTGCCGCCAGGTAAGGGCGCCCTGTGGCGGTGCTGTCAGCACCATGCACGCCTGGCAGAGCACATGTGAGAGGGGAGCGAGTCTAGTGCCTGTTGGTGCCCGTGGTGCCGTCCTGGAGATCCCTGTCCTCTTCCACACCGATAGGACGCAACCGTCCCTCTCTTATTCATAGTTTCGCTTCCAAAAATAGTAATGGGAAATTCCAGAAATAAACTGTTCCCAAGTCCTGCTCCGTTCTGTTTGGGGCAGCACTTGTGTGCAGGGAGCCTTTGTTTTTCTTAGCAGTGGCCCCAAGCCAAGGGTCCTGATGCTGGCTGTCAGGACAGGCCAGAGTCACCAAAGTGCTTCCTTGAGTACTCAAGGATCCTTTTTTTTTTTCCTTTTAAAAAATTTTTATTTTATTGAGAAATATGAATGAAACAGTTTCAAAACTGAATAATAGGACAATTTCGATGATTAATACATTGTACATTGTTATCTTCTTAGTGGTTATCCATAGTACAAGAAGCAGACAGGATATCCTGTCCAAACAGTATTAGTGGGGCTGGAGAGATGGCTCAGTGGTCTAAGGCACCTACTTAGAACAAGCTTGGCAAAGCATCAGGGACCGCGGTTCAATCCCCCAGCACCACATGC